ACTGATGGCCCTTCTCCCTTTCCTAACCTCAGCCTTCCAGGTCCATGCAAAGGCAAGTCTTTTGCTCCGGGCTCTGCGGCATGGAGGCTGCTCCCTCAAGAGCTGCATATCACTGTCTTACCCATGCCTGCCATCTCCTAGAGAGCAGACATTTATTTGGCTTCGTATTCCTAGTGATTGACACTAGAAAATCACTCTTGAAAAATGCTGACTTGGTAAACCATGATCAGGGTAATATTTTGCGCATACAATGTAATCATGGGAGAGATTCATACATGTGGCTGATCTTCTCGTATATATCTAGACCTTGGCAACATTAAACTTCCTCAGGGCATGCGTAAACTCTTGAACTGCTGCACCTAACAGAAACAAGATGAGTTTAGTTGGATGTCTTGACAGTATCTTAATGCTATTATCTTTTCAACTCTGAAATATTTGGGCATGATAAAATTTGAATCTGGACCAGACAGGGCCACCTTCTGATGCTCATTTAAAATTCTTAAGAAACATCCAGAAACATACTAACAGTCTAATGCAATACTATTTAAAAGTCTAAAGCATTTTTAAAACAAAGTAGATAGTATGATAAAAATTGTCTACATATTGCTCTCTATTAATTAGATAGTGTAAAAAAGGATGTATCTAAAAAGGCAGAAAAGAACTGAATGAAAACCAGTGTTTATTCTAAGAGTTAATTTCAAAATTATACCATGTAAGTGACTAACAGTCTCGGTTGGATACAGTTCTAAATGTGCCTAATAATGGATTTCTTCCCAGAGTGCTTATAAATTTGTTTAAGCATGAAAAAGCTGAATTTTACTTGGCAAGGATAATAAACGTGCATTTAGCTTTCTACTAATAAAAGGCATCCATTTACTAGTATTAGCAAATACGTTTTGCAATGAATTTCTAAACAAATTTTCCAGACTAGGTTATAATTGAAAATCTATTGTGAGCCAAAATTTGGAAATAAAAATAGTGGAACCCTTGCTTATAAGGAGTAAGAGTGTATAATAATGACAAATAAACTGTTAAGTCATCTAAAGAACTGACTTTGACTTTTTTATACACAGTAACTAGTACCAGCTTGTCAGCTAATAAAAGAAATGATTACTGTTTGTATCCCATTTACTACTAAGCCAGTAGAAAAGAACAGATAAATATTTGTGCAACTGAGAACATTTGAGATGCTTATACATAAGGATCCTTCAGATGGTTACAACAGTTAAATTCCAACTTTTATCTTCATTTATTTGTTTGTCATGTATTTTTGGAGCATCTGCTATATGTACTTTGCTAGTGTCTGGAAATAACACAGTACGTTAAAGCAAATGAATTATGTTCTAGTGGGAAAGACAGATAATAATCAAATAAGAATGATGATGAATACCTAACCAGAGCCTAAGGGAAAGGGACATGGTTTTTATAGAGCATATTATAAAGGTACCTGAATTGGTATCGGGTAAGGCTTGTCAGAGAAAGTGATACTTGAGCTGGGTTTTGAAGGATGAGTAGGAGTTCGTTAGGTGAAAAAGGGTGAGGAGCAAAAGGAGAGTAAGGATTCTAAGCGAAGGGTACAACATCAGCGAGAGAAAAGAGAGCAATCCAGTGGGAATGGAATACAGAGCATTAGAGAGTGATACCAGATGAGTGAGGAAAGGATGGCATAAGGTAGGCCAATGAAGGTCATTTGAAGGATTCACTAAAAAAATGAACGACAATTTAGTGGCTATAAACTGGAAGGTAACACAATCAGATTTGCCTGTTAAAAGACCACACTATTCCATCAACGACAGGAGCAGAGAATAATATTGGGCTGTCAGAAAAGTCATGACAAATATTTTTTCTATGTTTTTTGTTGCAAAACTGTGTCATGACTATTTCGACCACCCAATACAAAAGGAATATAAAAGCAGTTAGTAGAAAGGGGTATAAGGGTGGTAGCTTGGATTAAGGTAATGGCTGTGTACAAATTCAAGACATATTCAGGATAAGTCAATAGGGCTTGGTGATAGGTGGGTATGGAGTTGAAGGAGAGACGAAAACATGAAGGATTACTTGCTCAGCTAAATTGATAGTGGTGTCATTTGTTGAAATAGGTGACACCAAAGGAGGGGCCAGGTCTGGGGAAATATTAGGAGGGTCTTAGATACGTTGCGGTGCCTTTGAGAAGGGGAGATATATAATGGGAGTTAGTTAGATGGATATGGAGCTCAGAGGGGAATCCAAGTCTGAGTCCAAAAGAAAAAGAGTAAAGGTGAGGGCACTGAGGTTTTGGTGACTGTACAGAAATACTTTAGAAAAGAATGACAGATAAAAACTAAAAAGAAAAAAGAAAAACCAACACTTGTAAAACTGAGACAAGCAGAACTCAGTGAATGTATTTTATAACGCTAATACTAGGAAAATGATAAATGGTTTTATGAATAGCATAAATAGTAAAAACGGGGGTTTCATGAACGAATGGTGTTTAGTCAAAAGACCAGAATCCAAACTCTTGGTCATGGGACCTAGTCCTTGTCTTTTAGGAAGGGGTGGTTGAGATCTGGGTGGCGGAGCCTCACGTGTGAAACGAAAGCTGTGTACGCCTTCGAGAAGGCGTGGGAAGAAGGAAGCCTGTGGAGCTCATGAGCTTCCCCTTATTACTATGACCACAATAAGTTGCTCTCAAAAGTGACCATGTGACTCCATACCTACCGTTCTTGGAACCGACACATGAGCACGTGCCAGGCCAGTAAGTTTCACTATAAAGGACATTTAAGTCAACTCATGCTTACGCCAAAAATCACGTATTAATTTTAACGGAGTTATGAGTATTCAAATAGAGACATCTTTTACTTTATACAAAAGCAACTTTATACTCACACTTTAATAAAGGAATGCAAACCACAAATAAGTTATGATTTTACTAGACAGCAAACATCTTTAAAAAAGGAAAACAAAAATAAAAGTTGATCTAGGCCTCCAGTTCTTAGGCATCAATAGCTATCTCAAGTCTTCAGAATGTCTACATTTGTTTTCTGGGTTTTTATTAGGGTTTTTTTTGGTATTTCATCTAAAATTTCCCTTACTCTGTTTGAACATCTAGCCTTAAAATCAAAGAATTCTACAGATCTTTTACACAAAGTGAGGTGGGAATTGGTCTTTCTTATATGTCATGTGTTCCTTAGAATTTGAGAAACAAGGCCCTACACATTGCTCCATTCCTTTTGAAGGCCAGGACACAAATTATTCAATTCCCTCTTGGCTTTAGTAGTTTCACTTTTTACTGTATTGCAAGAATGTAATATTATTGAAAAATAGGGCATGTAACATGAACTACATAGCAAAGTATATAAATTTATGTAAGAAACTGAAAGAACTCCAAAATAACCACTTTTATGTTTAATAGCTAGTTGTAAGGTGGTTATCTAGAATCCATGTCTAAGATTTCAGATCAGATAATTCCTGATCTTTGCTGGTTCTAGTACTTAACTTTTTTTTTTTTTTTCAAATATCCTTCCAGGCAAAACTACTCACTCTTAAACTGGTCCAGTGAAAAAATAAACTCACTAGAAAACTCTAGGCTATGTCAGAATCATTGTCAATGTTTCTCTACAAGAAATAAACAAAATACAGCATGAGAAAACAAAATTGACATACTATGCATGCTTGAATAGATTTTTCCCAATCCTAAAGATAATGTTGGGGACCAGTTCTAGGATATTTACTGAGCATCAAGGTGCTTGGGAATGAATCAACAAATTTATGTAAGATATCAACAAGGTAGGTAGTCCAAACGTTGGGGGTATGAGGTCTAGATTAGTTTGCAACTACCTTCTTTAGGCTTCAACAACTAACAGAATATTTGTTTGTTTTTCTTACAAAACACAAGTGCCCTGTGTTTGGCATTGAGACTACTTCAGTGTCGAGACAAGGTCTAACAATGATAAAATAAGATACTGATACATCATAATTTAATAGAAACAACCTTGAGCTTATATTCTATTTAAAATATATTTCAAAAATGAAATTTCAGGTTATGTACGTTTGATGAACAGCTACCAAAGGAGAACATTGTGCACATTTAACAAGAGAGAACATTCTTGTATTTAACAAGAATAGGAGTCTTGCATCAAAAATATTTCTTGAATATCGTGAATGAAGGAGCCACAAAAATACTCAGCGTGAAAAGTGATATCTTGCAGGTCTACTTAGTCAAAATCTGGAAAATTCTCGGCAGCAAGCAGGAGACTCAGAAAATGCTGACTTTAATTACAAACTTTATTTGTCAATACAATTCACAGTTTATACATGGTGCAATCCACCATATGAACTTTCAGAACAGTTTTTGAGGAAGTGGGTGTAGCTTTCTTTCTAAAAGAGCCTGACTTTCTAAAATTTCAGTTAGAATTTTTTTAAGTTTATAAAAGTACCTTTAACAAGTTAACTGGATATTTACATTTTTAGCTTAAATTTAAATTTTGGAAAATAAGCATCTATTGTTTTTTGTTTTTTGATCCTGGGTTTACTTTTAAGACCATAATCAGAACACCATTTATTCAGATAACCCCCACCCCCACCCCAACAATAAAAGAAATGTTTTGCCATTATATTTAGGGAAATCATTTTCTTTCTGCATTAAAAAAATTATATATACAATGTACAGCAGATCTAGGTATGAAAATAAAAGAAAGAGTAGCAATCTATTAGGTGCCTTTACTGAATTTCTTTTGAATTTTGGAGACATCCAAAGGGTTATAGGACATACAATTAAACTAAAAAGGATTATAGCCTTTTCTATCTTAACAACATAGAAAGCTCTCAAGATGTAAATTGTGCTATAACAGCTTTTTCTCTAATGTCAGAGATGAGTTATGCCTGCAAATCTGCATTTTTCCATGTGCAAAGTCACAGTGATCCCAGTTTCAGCTTCTGCTCCCACACTCAGTGACAACTCTAGAGGTATGCCCACAGGAGGCTAGGCCTGTGCCCAGACCTGCCTGCGGGTTCACCTCCCCTCACTTGGCAAAAGTCACCAAGGAAAGAAAATCATTTAAGCCTTTCATACACCAAAAAGCAAATCAATGATGGCAGTAGAGTGTTTATTAGCAAATGCGCATTAACACACTGTTTTGCTGTCTTCTTTTCATCAGGATGCTAATTCACACCAGTTGTCTTAAATCACCTCCAATAATATCCATTTTTAACAGTTTTCTTCTCAGATTACTTTATATATATATATATAGATAGATAGATAGATAGATTTTCTTCTTCCACCTTTAAAAAATGTAGAGTTATTAATAAAGGATAAGTTCCAAATACTGCCAGGAACAAGGAGATTGGGAGCAGCCAATTTTACCGACCTGGTAATAATTACACTGGATATATGTACCATTGGTACCTGAGTCAAATAAATACTCAGAGGGGCCATCTCTGCACCTCATTTCTCTGCAGTGCCTTTAATGCTAAGGTTTCTGAGTGTTGCTTCAATGTCCGTCTAATTTGGCATCTGTTCCTTCTTCGGGCATCATCGCTTCAGTCATTTTACACACTGGTTTTCCAGCAAGGTATGGTATTCAAATGGGACTCATGGGGTGGAGGGCTGCAGGTGAGCCTACAGGTGGGGCGGGGAAGGACAAACCACACGTTAGCTAGAGAGGTTCCGTTTCTTCATAAGATAAGGCACTGACAGAAAATTTCTTAGGTAAAAGGCTGCATAAGAATTTCTTGCCATTTACAAAAAGAAATGTTGTCATCCATAAGTGGTCCATATCTAGGCTCAGTTAGGTAGACGCTGAAAAGTTAAGGACTGATCCCTCGAAGCTACATTATTACCAGAAATAATTCGAATTCATTCCGAAGCCTTATGGCACATTAGGGGAAAAAAAGGGAGAAAAAACAGTCTGGGCACAAAAAGGCATCAGACCTTGGCTTGTTTCGTTCCACTCATCAGAGAACGTGGACCGTTCAACAAGCATCATCAAAAAGAGAGTGCTGGCTCAGAATTCCAAAATCTCTTGATGGTAGATGACCATGATGGGTGTATCTATTTTTCCCCCCCTTTGGAGCTCATGCACAATTTAAAAAATGCTACCAGCAACAGTCCTAAAGAGCATATAGAGGTCCTCACCTATGGCTATGCCTATGGCTCTGCAAACACAGGGCTATTTCATGTTCTCTATAACAGCAATTTCCTCGCCTGCACAGTGTGGTGTCAATCCATTCAAATAGATACTTTCAGTTTTCAGTAAGGGAGGCAAGACCTCCCTCTCGCTCGCTAGGTGGTTCACGGACAGAGTCCTCCGACAAGGAGTCAGCTCCTGGTTGTGGTTCCCAGCCAGTTCCGCGGACAGCTTCCGCTTAATGGAGGTGGCGCGCTGGAACTTGTCATAAATCTCCACACTCAGCCGCCGCCTGGTTTCCTTGAACTCGGCTGTGACGTTGGCCGTCCACTCAGCAGCATGGGCTCTGAATTCTCCCACCTGGAGCGTGCACACAGCAAAAAGACAAAAGACACACCAACATGACAATCAGCATTTTGTGGGCTGCATTTTCTGATCGTTTTTTGTAATGGCGGGGGGGGTGAAGAGAGGACCACAGCCAGTTTAAATACTGGAGGTCTGGAAATTGATGCCATAAGACAAGATGTGCAGAGCAAAATTCCTTTACACAGAAATGCCTCTAAAGAGGAATGCATGAATGTAAACTCTATAAATCTAATTATATTGAAGGTACTAGAGGTGCTTGTTTTTTATACATGAATCCTGTCATGGAAACTTCTGATGCTGTCAAAAAAACAAACAAACAAAAAAACCCAACTCTTAACTTTTTAAAAGTTTGTGAGTTTGTCCACCCCACCCCCTTTGTAATTTCAAGAAGTATTTGGATATAGAAAAGGCAGTAGAAGCAGCAGGACAGAGAAAAGGCCTGGAAGGTGAACCCAGGTGACTTGGTTTGTTCTAATAGCACCCACGCTGTTTGCCCGGGATGTAAAAACTCAGGCTTAGAGAACAGAAATGGTGTGTGAAGGAACTTTATACCCAACCCCATATTGCTCATTTAGGAAATCTCTATTTACTGACTAAGCTATAAAATGTCTTGTTTTTTGCCTTCAGGGAATGCAATTGAGAGCTGGCAAGTCCATTTCAAGGCCCATTTTGGAGAACAAGTTAAGTCCATGGAATCGTTTCTCAGCGAATGCTTGTGGGATGAGTGAAGTCACTCAACCTGTCTGAGCTGCCATCTCCTCACCTGTAGAACAGGCACCTTCACGGTGCACACCTAACAGAGTGGCGGGGCTGATGTACCTCGCCTCCTGTGAGAACCTAGGAAGTTATCACTGTGTACGTCTCTTCTGAAGGTCAAGGAAAAAGATCTGGCCAAGGCCTAAGCATGTTGCACGTCTCCTCTGACCTCTTTAAAGATATGTTTGCACTCTTGTGACCTAAATAGAACAATGACTAACCCCCTGGGAAACTTTGATGATCCTTTTCTTAACCAACTACAACTTAATAATCTAGAATAGCTTCTAAAATAATCTCCTATTGTAGAACAACTCCCCCATGTCCCTCTATTGCTAGCACTTCTGCTTTCAGCTTGGGGAACCCCAATGAACTCATGTTTTAAGTGACATGGACTCCTCTTTGCCTCGCAAGCTCTGGGGGGTATGTCTGTTTATTTGTTTGTTTTGTTTTTATTGGCGGTGGTGTTGTTTTGCACCCTCTGTTGATTTTTGTTTTAAATTTTGATATGGGGAATGTAACTGATGGTTTCTGCCATGGTCTGAATGTTTGTCCCCCACCCCACCTCCTTCCCGCCAAATTCATATGTTGAATTCTAACCCCAAAAAGCATGGTATTATGAGATGGGGCCTCTGGGAGGTGATTAATTTGTGAGGGTAAAACCCTCATGAATGGAATTAGTGCTTTATAAGAGAGAGCTCCCTAGCCCCTTCTACCACGTGGCAACATAAGAAGTAAGAAGAAGGCTCTGGATATCAACCAGAAAGAATAATGCTGGAGCTATGATCCTAGACATCTAGCCACCAGAATTGTGTGAAATAAATCTTTGCTGTTTATAAGCTACCCAGGCTGTGGTATTTTGTTACAGCATCAAACTAAGTCAGTTTCTAAATATTTATGTTGATATATGGTCTGACAATTAAGTTCATGAACTTGTTGCAATGATGTTGCTAACCTTTTTTGATATCAGAGGGATTATTCATTATGCATTTGTACCAACTGGACAAACAGTTAACCAAGTTTATGATTTGGAAGTGCTGAAAAGGTTGCGTGAAAAAGTTAGACTACCTGAACTTTTTGCCAGTTCATGGCTCTTGCATCACAACAATGCACCAGCTTACAGGGCACTGTCTGTGAGGGAGTTGTTAGCCAGTAAACAAATAACTGTATTGGAACACCCTCCCTACTCACCTGATCTGGCCCCCAATGACTTCTGTCTATACCAGCGATTCTCAACCTTCCTAATGCCGCGACCCCTTAATACAGTTCCTCATGTTGTGGTGACCCCCAACCATAAAATTATTTTCATTGCTACTCTATAACTGTAATTTTGCTACTGTTATGAATCGTAATGTAAATATCTTTTTGTTTTCCGATGGTCTTAGGCGACCCCTGTGAAAGGGTCATTCAACCCCCAAAGGGGTCGCGACCCACAGGTTGAGAACCGCTGGTCTATACCCAAAGATAAAGGAAATATTCAAAGAAGACATTTTGATGACATTCAGGACATCAAGGGTAATTCGATGACGGCTCTAATGGCCATTCCAGAAAAAAAGAGTTCCAAAATTGCTATGAAGGGTGGACTAGGCACTGGTGTCGGTGCATAGCTTCCCAAGGAGAGTACTTTGAAGGTGACCATAGTGATATTCAGCAATGAGGTATGTGTCACTTTTTTCTAGGATGAGTTCATGAACTTAATTGTCAGGCCTCATGTATGCACATATGTATATTTTAGTATGATGTATACATGTACTTGCATAGTCATAGATGAATGTGTGTGTGTGTGTGTGTGTGTGTCCACAGAAAACAAAATGAAAACTGTTCAAATATCCCTGGAAGGTTGCACATGGCAGATCAACTCTTCCTCATCCCTTCATAATCACACACACACACACACACATATTTGATGATCTACTATTTATTTTAAAAAGGCCTCCCCCCCCCCCCCCCCCCCCCCCCCCCCCCCCCCCCACAAAAAAAAAAAGGCCCCCCCCCCCCCCCCGCTACTTGTATTGTCCTAACAAGAAATAATTGCTTGTTATCGGGTTCTGAAAAAAGCCAAGCTGGAGAAATGAGGCCTTTGTGGCACACATAATTGGCAAGATCAACCACTCCTTAATCACAGAGGCGACTTAAAGGGAACTGGCAGGAAAGAGGTGCTAAATTTACAGCAATGTAGCCTGAAACTTCTTACTGCTCCTGTAAGGGGCTCTGCCCCACTATACTTGGATAGAGAAGAGACTATTGGATGTATAATTCTGTTTTGCGGGGCCTCTCTGTGGTGGGAAACACTGAATCACTCCATACACATTGATAGATAACATGCACCCCCAGTCCCCAACAATTTGTATTATTTTTCTGTTTACCTCATTGTCTTTCTGTTCAGATCGAGTTTCTGAGTTCAAAGTCTATATTATATTCACTGGTGTATCTACAATCTCTAGTGTCTAATACAGAGAAGGCCCTGAGTAGAAACTTATTGAATTGCATTGAATTAATAAATGAACACTATAAAGTTTTGAAATAATACTTCTAATATAAAAAGTTAAGAGATTCAGTTGTTTCACTACCAGTTTCAATTTAATTTTAACAAACTCAACTTGCAGCACTCTTAAAGATTATTCTCAAGTACAAAAACAAGACCTGATTAATATGGTCTTAAACAAAAGTTATTTTTGAACATGTTATTAAATTCTCCTGGTTTGCACTACAAGCAGATAATCCTGAACAGTGTGAAATTTGCAGTTTCTAAGAAAACAGTAATTATTAATGAAAAATAAAAAATTCCAACTGACCTTTATTCTCACCTTATCAGTGATTTTATAAAAAAGGAATTAACTTGTTCTATTTAAGAAGTTAGAATTTTCTAAATGTAAAAAGACACATACTTATATACTTTTTTCTATGAGGAGCTTCTCCTAGTAGTAAGGTTAATGTAATAAAGGAAACAGGAAAGAATCCACATTTTTGTTTAAATAAGTGTTTGTGATTAGCATAAAAATCAGCTACTATATTCAATTTCCTCCCATATACAAGTAGTTAACCCAAAATAATCACCTGCCTAGTGGACATTGATCTGAGTTAGCTGTTAAATCATGGCTCAAGTCTTGGGGCACTCTTAAAATCAATGGACCTAAAATTAGGTCTATTCCGTTGGTTTTATTTTGGTTACCAGTCTTTTACTTCCATCAGCAGAAAGACTACTGACCTTCACAGGATGTGCCTCCCCTTACTCTTTGGTAATGGTCTGCTATTTTTTATCTTAAAAATGTCTTAATTCAAGTGTCAATCTATTTACTTGCTAATTTTTCTATCTCCTCTAACTAGAATGTAAGTTCTATGTATATCTTCAGCACCTGGAATATAGCTGGTTTGCAGCAGACTTCCAATAAAATACCTATTATATGAATGAACAGATCACTGAAAAACGCATGTTCTCTGTAATGTCACACCTCAATACCAATTAGCAATAGTGTAGCACACAGACTGCCAATTGTTTTTATTCCCTGTATACTAACCTTACTTTCTCCCTCCCCAATTTTGATCATCATTAATATTTTTACAAAAATGGTCTTATATTGGGTTGTCGGAAAAGGCATGACGTATTTTCTCTGTTTTTCGTTGCAAAAATGCGTCATGACTTTTCCAACAACCCAATATTAAACACATTGTTTGCAAGTGGCTTTTTCCCCTGTAACCAATTGTAGTCATTTTTCCCTGTTAGTACCCATTATTCTAGCTTATAGTTTATGTCAGCTGCCTCGCGTTCCACAGGATGATGCTACCATTGATGAACTTTTCGGTGTTTTTTGTTTGTTTGTTTATTTTGTTATTGATAATAATACTTCAGTAAATATTCTTGCACCCATATCTTTGCTAATGTGTCCAAGTAGTACTGGAATTGGAAATGCTGGGTCAAAACATATCAATATTTTTAGATTTTGAGAACACTGATATTTCCATCCAGTCAGTGTTTTCAGACTCAGGGTTTGCAGTAGCCCAATAATTTTTCTTTCTGGACACTTAGGTAACCTCTGTCTTTTCAGCGCCAAAAAAAAAAAGAAAAATCTGATTATTGGCATCTGCATAGAAAATGCTTTAAACATTTTAATAATTGAAATTTGAAGTTTAAGTGGTCACGATAACTTAGACAAAGAATAAAAACCTTCCGTAGACTTGATCTGAGTTTTCTAGAGAAGCAAGTTTCACAAAGTCACCATAATCTCTCAGGATGCACTAAT